ATCGGTGCCCTGGGGCTTGAAGGAGGGCCCAGAAAGCTTTGGGGTGCTAACTTACTGTCTGCGAGGAGACACTTCCCTTTAGCTTCGCGCTCAGGTAGAGAGCCAGTTCTGTAAATGCTCTCCAAGTTCCTGAAGGCCTACTTGTGCTAATAGATCTGGGCTGACTGGAAATGGCTAAGTCATGTCCAGCATGAAGTTATTTCTTCATAAGTTTTCCTACTTAGTCATGGTGCTCAAACGTGAGCCATCCATGCTCGGGCGGGGGTGGGAGGGGCGGGATCTTTCAGACTTAATAGGCTTCCAAAACCTCTGACAGAGTTACCCTGAGGAACTGAAACATCACTCCCCGAAAATGCCTTCCAAGAAAATTGCTATAAAATGGAGATTAGTTTCACTGCAAAGGATACTTTTTAGCTTTGCAATTAGCAAAACAAATTTTTCTTGCTTCTGGCATCAAAATGAACACATAAAACTTAAAAATTCTAAGTTTATGGATTCTAAACAGATATGCAAATCCCGATGATCCTTTGTTGCCAGTTTAAGGTGTATTGTAATATCTGCTTAAACAGCGATACTTCAGTCCTGGTCATGAGCCAATAATGGAAGCAGACCAAGGTGCTCTCCGGTCTCTGCTTCCTGATGCTGCTCCATCTGGGAAAGTGTCCATCTGTACCCTCCTGTGACCCCGGGGCCTGGGCGAGCTGAGCTCGGCTTCTTGTTTGCAAGCCTGCCTTTCTTAGCTGCTAAAAGGAACTCACAAATAGAAGCAGGTGTTTTACTTCTTCCTGGGACTTCTGCATTTTGAGGATGGAAGGCTTTGTGCTAAGCAGGAAGGATGATGAATATTTGCAAAAGTTCAGAAAATATTTCTGGGCAGCAAAGGGGTTTCCCCTGAAATCAAAATCCCAAGACTATTTCTTCCCTCTGAGAAGTCACACTGACCTTTCTTCTTCCTTCCTCAGTCTTTTCATAATATGGTAGTTATAAAAATGCCATCTTCATCATCGATGGACACTAAAATGTGTCTCTGAATACATGCTACTTTCATTTTCCCTTTTCAGTTTCTTAAAGCACATTAAACACATGACCATGGATTTATGTAAGCTCACATGAGTAGATAATTATGTATATATGAACATATTGCTATATTTTCTATAAATTGCTATAAAATGGATATCACTTTCAAGTAATGGGCTTTGCATGGACTGTTTATTGTCCAAGAAGAGTGTGTGCCTCATATCTGGAGACTTGGGGCAGCGGAGACAAACATATCACATTGAAACTATGGTTCAGGTGAAAAAGGCAAGAAAAGAGCTGTGCCGGCTAATAAAACACTGGCGATTCCTTTTGTAAATGCCTCAGATATCGGTGCACTGAAATGTACTTTGTGATGTTTATTCCTCAAAGAGTTTGTTTTTTTAATTTTGCAAGTTTCTATTGAAGAGAGAGCAATGGAAGAGATAAGCCACTTTTACATACTCTATGTATGTTCTTAATTCAGAGCTTAGCATGTTTGGCATGTTGCAGGCCCTCCCTCGATAGGGGTTTGTGGATTCCTTTGGGAAGTCCTGGAATGCGGGGTGGGAAACGCACTGGGTTAGTGCTGCCCCTGGCAGGTTATGTGAGACCAGGACAGTCGCTTCAGCCAGGCTCACACACTTATTAACTTATTTACCCATGCCAAAACCAGTTTGGCTCAGTGGATAGAGCATCGGCTTGAGGACTGAAAGGTCCCAGGTTCGATTTTGGTCAAGGGCACATCCCCAGTAGGAGGTGTGCAAGAGGCAGCTGATCTATGATTGATTCTCTCTCAGCGATGTTTCTAACTCTATCCCTCTCTCTTCCTCTCTGTAAAAAATCAATAAAATACTTTTTTTAAAACTTATTTTCCCAGCGTGCAGCTATTCAGTCAGAAAATGTCATAGTTGATAGAGAACTCACATATTGTTCAGCCCCTCTTTTCCAGAGGAATCTGAGCCCCAGATGGATCGATGACTTGCTCTGTCATTAAGAGTAAAACTATGTCCTTTATTCTCACCCCAGCTCTTAATTGCATGCTTTCACTACAACCCTTACACTTCTATAGAGTATAGCCAATTTGAATGGTACAGAAGACCAGAGGAAAACTAAGCAACGCCCAGAGGGAATGGAGTTACACTGTTTATTATGCCGGCGGGCTCAGAGAAAGATTTCTCAAATTCAGAGCAAACACATGGAGGGAGCTTTCTCTTTTTATATTTTTCTAATGTTTTCGTTTGGGGCTTCCTCCCTTTTGCAAGTTTTCAAAAGAGCCCTCTGCATGTTTGGTAGCTATCTGGCTGGAAGCCTGTAACCTTGAGCACAGATAACTGAGAGGCACCTGGCATGGGGGTGGGCTATCTAGGGACAGCAGCAAAGCGGCGTGCAAGGTCAGACAGCCACGCTCATCTTCCTCATTATTCAAGGAAGCCAAAAAGTCAAGTGAATTTATAGAACAAGGGACCGTCTAAAAATAATAGAGTTGACTCGCAGAACAAGGAACCATCTAAAAAGCAGACAATTTCAAATAGCAGTTTTACAAAATAGGGGTTGGCCTTCTCGCTAATAGTTTCGAGTTCACATTTTATCCCCGAAAGTCTGTGTGCATAGAATTTAATGATATTCCCATTTGACAGTTGAGGGGGGGAAAAAACAAAAACGAGGGTTAGAGAAGCTGTGCCTCATTCAAGAACATGTTTGTCATAGTAGAAGCACTTACGCTTTTGCTCTTTCTGGCATTACTTCTCTGTTGAGTGTGCAATGTTCCTAGGTCTCTAACCTGAACGGTTGTTAATGTTGCTTTTATTGGAAACTAGAGACCCTGTGCACTTGTAGGGTCCCTCAGGTTGGCCTGTGGGGATCGGGCCCCAGGTCGCACCCCAGCCTCCAAGCCCCGCAGCCCTGCCTGGCACCTCGCCATGGCCTGGCACTACCCCCTCACCTGCTCTGCCATCCCCCGCTGCAGCTCTTTGGCCCCTTCAGTGCGGCTCTTCCACAAAATACCGTGCCCTGGGCGAGTCTATTTTGAAGATGTGGTGTTAGGAGAAGTTTAAAAAATGTGGCTCTCAAAAGAAATTTCAATTTTTGTACTGTTGGTATTTGGGTCCGTTGACTAATGAGTTTGCCGACCACTGCCCTAGGCTCATGGAGGTAAACAAGTTCCTACAGCATCTTCTTAATGTTATAACAAAACAATGTTGAACAAAAAGACATTTTCAAAAACATGCTGTACTTTCCGACTTCCAGAAAATGGTGAGTTTCTAGTTCCCAAGTGACCACTTCCCAATCTCTCTCTACTCTTACAAGTGTATTCGTTTCTCTGTTCCTTTATTGTCTCAGGATTGAGGAGGGAAGTCAGGCCAGGCATACGTGCACAGGTCTGAGCTAAAATCGAGGAGCTCCCTTCAATCACAGGGTCTCCCTGCCCGTCGCAGGCGCGCCTGTGGGCCTCCGGCTGCCACCGCGCTCCCACTGTTTTGCCACGGAGAACCCATGTTCGCTCAGGCAGAGCCTCTTCACGGCAGCAGTTGCGGAGCCAGAGTCTTGGGTTTCAGACTTGGCTCCGGACCTGTCTGGTGCATCGCTTTAGGAGACTGACTTAAAATGTGTGCCTCAGCCAGGACCCGATCAAGATGATTACTGGTGTTTACCTCACAGAGTAATCTGAGAATGACTGCATGCATTTCCAGGCCATAGCTTTTCTAAAACTGTCTTCTGACTTTAGAATAACCTTCTGTGAAAAAATAATAATAACCTTCTCAGTCATAAAAACCATAAGCAGACACAGAAGGATGCCAACAGGCAGAGGTAAACTGAGTGCATCCTGGCATCAAAAATTCATCATTCTCACCGGGCAGTGATTCCTGACAACATGCCGAATGCTAGGCCTCGGGGCCAGGAGGAGAGACAGCAAGGTAACTTTATAAATCCTGCCCCTTGCCATCACTTATCCACAGTGCTGATTTCATTTTTATAATTCTCTGGCTAAATAAGAACCTGATGAATCATTGCATAATTAAATTACCCTGAAACAGCAGGGATGCACCCTGGCTTCTCTCAAATAGGCCAGGAGTGTTTTCTCTTCATTTGGTTGACGGAGGAAAGGTGACTCCTAAGGGGAAATATTTTTCTTACTACATTTTTAAATATGCAACAACAACAAAAAGTACATAGGAGAAATAAAGGACTTCCATCACAAATATCAACATTTATCATTTTAAACTTTTACAGACAATTAACCAAAGAAAAGGTTCAACAACCTCTAAATGTTCCTTTAGGTGTTTGTTTCCAGCATTTGGGTGAAAAAATGAATCATGTCCATCTAGGTCTGGGCTCTGTCTCTGGCTGACACCAGAGGACTGTTGAAGGAGGGCTTGGTCATTGTCCTTGCTGGTAGTCTCAAAAAATAAGTTGAATCAAAACTGGTTTGGCTCAGTGGATAGAGCGTTGGCCTATGGACTGAAAGGTCCCAGGTTCGATTCCAGTCAAGGCATGTACCTTGGTTGCAGGCACATCCCCAGTAGGGGGTGTGCAAGAGGCAGTTGATCGATGTCTCTCTCTCATCGATGTTTCTAACTCTCTCTCTCTCTTCTTCTCTGTAAAAAAATAATAATAATAATAATAATAATAAGTTGAAGCGCCAAAATGCATGGATTTCCTTAATACGTTATGAGAATACCGACAAAAATATGTATATGTAGAGCTTTGTTATTTCAACATATTTTCAGTAGTTATTGCTTTAGGGGAAAAGTCTATAATTCTATGACAACTTATAAAAATAGTTCCATTTTTTAAAGCACTGTATGAGGCACAGGCCAGGGGCTGAGGCAGTCCTTATTCTTTTCCTTCCACATGTGCCTCCTTCATAACTTTTATGACCACAGTTCTGTGTTGGATTCAGGTGTCATGAACCATAGAGATGACCTATCCTGGGTTATGATTGATGATGGGCTTTATAGTTGGAGTCCCTTCCCTCTAAATACATTCATTACCTACACCTTAACTTGACATTCCCTGGGACATTTCTGTCAGTCCCTATAGCCTTTACAGCACTCCCCTCGCCCGTTTGATATTTCACTGTCAGAGACGTCTACACTGTCCCTCTGGACATGCAAATACAATATAATAGTAAATAAAACTAACTGACAGTGATCCCGAACAGACCCTGTTCTATACCTCATTCTCCTAAAAATGTGTCTACTGTTGGTTTTAACTTTTCAATTTTTAAAAATCTCCTATCTTTGTGCCAGTTATGTATTAAAATGTCTTCACATTCTCCTCTTTATATGAGCCGTAGCCAGTAGCAACTTGTTAACTGGATTCTGAAAGCAAAGATTACCATCACTGCTTTCTCACATTGACTCTCTCTCTCTTTTCTCTTTTCTCTTTTCTCTTTTCTCTTTTTTCTTTTCTCTTTTCTCCTTTCTCTTTTTTCTTTTCTCTTTTCTCTTTTCTCTTTTCTCTTCTCTCTCTCTCTCTCTCTCTCTCTCTCTCTCTCTCTCTCTCTCTCTCTCACACACACACACACACACACACACACACACACACACAATTCTATTGAATTGACTTATAAAGTCACTTGTTTTTCTGGTAGATTGCATTTATCAAAAACATTTAAATTCATAATTGATTAATGAAAAGACAGGGCCAAATATTGACAAGAGGAAAATGGAAATAGAAAATGAACCTCCTAGCAAAATGATTTTCAAAAGAAAGTGTTTTTCTTTAAAAACTTAGTTTCTCCATTTTTTTTTTTTTTTTTGGTGCGATGATAAATGGGATTGTTTTTTTAATCTCTTTTTGTAAGTTCACTATTGGTGTATAAAAAATGCCATAGATTTCTTGGTGTTAATTTCATATTCTGAATTCATTTATTAAATCTAATAATTTTTTGATGGAGTCTTTAGGGCTTTCTATGCCCAGTATCATGTCATTTGTGAATAATGAGTTTTACGTCTTCTTTCCCAATTTGGATATCTTTTATTTCTTCTTGTCTAATTGCTATGGCTAGCATTTCCATTACTATGTCAAACAGGAGTGGTGAGAGTGGGCATCCTTGTCTCGTTCCTGTTTTGGGGCGAGATGGTTTTAGTTTTTGCCCATCGAGTATGATGTTGGCTGTGGGTTTGTCATATATTGCTTTTATTATGTTGTGATATGATCCTCTATTCCCACATTGCTGAGAGTTTTTATCAAGAAAGGGTGTTGGAGTTTGTCAAATGCTTTTTCTGCATCTATTGATCTGACTATATGATTTTTGTCTCTCAATTTGTTAATGTGATGTATCACATTTATTGATTTGCAGATATTGTACCATCCTTGCATCCCCAGGAGAATTCCTACTTGGTCATGGTGTATGATCTTCCTTATGTAATGCTGAATCAAATTTGCTAGAATTTTGTTGAGGATTTTTGCATCTATGTTCAGATACCTAGGAATAAACTTAACTAAGGAGGTAAAAGACCTGTACTCAGAAAACCACAGGACACTGAAAAAAAAAAAATAAAGACATAACCAGTGTGTTATGGATTGATAGAATCAACATCATTAAAATGTCCATACTGCCCTACTCAATTTGGCTCAGTGGCTAGAGCATCAGCCTTTGGATTGAAGGGTCCCAGGTTTGATTACTGTTCAGGACATATGCCTGGGTTGTGGGCTCAATCCCCAGGGGATTGCACAGAATCTCTAGATTGCGCTGGGAAGTATGGACATTTTATTTATTTATTTTTATTTTTTAAATATATTTTTATTGATTTCAGAGTGGAAGGGAGAGGGAAAGACAGGTAGAAACATCAATGTTGAGAGAGAATCATTGATCGGCTGCCTCCTGCACACCCCCTACTCAGGATTTCCATGGAAACAATGAGAGAGAGATCCTATTCCATTTGTAGTGATACCAAAGCTACCAGCAGCCTGCATTGAATGAAATGTGTGCCCCTCCCTTAGTCGCCTTCTCTTGCTTGGAGAGGCAGAAAGGAGACTGTTACATTCCTCTTGTCTTCGTCCACCCAACCAACTTCTAGTCTTGTTTCCACTCTAGGTTTCCTGCCTTGTTCAATGAATTCTAAACTAAATTTGTACCTCAGCAATTCCTTGCTCAGCTGGACACAGGAGGTAGAGGGTAAGATAGATCTTAAACTTTTCTTACATTGTGGACAAGACAATGAATGCCTTTGCCAGTCAGCCAAGAGTACATCATATATCTTTAAAGGAGTCTTGAACACGAAGATAATTAAAATTCATGATTTTGACAAAAGCACTGAGATTTTTAACTCGAGTTGATAAGTTAATCCCACATTCATTTACTGTGAGGTTAAAGCGCCAGAAGAGTGATGAACATGGGTTTTTCCTCTGCAGTCACATGGTGTCTGGGGGTCAGGTGCCCTCTGGCCCAAAGTTTACAGAAGGAGCATTTGACTGAATCCTCACTTTTAGTCACAACCACTTCTTCGCAGAGAGAATGGGCCTCTTGTCTGACAGCTGAAGCTGACTTTGACACATAATGTTATACCAGGGAGCATGCATACACACTCCGGTCTTGGCTGTTTGGGGTCAGTGAACCACTGCTAACCTTGAAGCAGGAAGAGCTTTGCCTGAGCTACTTCAAAGTCTACTCAGTTTTATAATAAAATAAAAAAAATTACTGAGTGCTGTTTAAAATTAAGGTATTAAACTTCTATATCTATTGAGCATTCTAAATTGCCCATAACTAACTAATGTGCTGTCAGATCATAAATCAGAAGATGTGTACTCATAAATCATGATTATAAATTGTGTTAATATTCCCAGTACAAGGTTAAGATTTTACTTTTAACCTTGTACTGGAAATATCTTATAGTTTTCTGGTTTCTTGAGCAGAGAAAAAAAAAAACAAAAAAACTTTAACTCAATTGTTTTACCTAAAAAAAAATGCACTGAAAAATAAAAGTTAAAGACTTCCTATAACTTCTTAATGGAACTGTTCTTATAACTAAAGTTAAGAAATCAATGCGACTTAATTCAAACTGGAATTCCAAAAAATGGGCAATTCAAAGGAACATTTCTTCTATAAGATACACTGGGCCAGAGAGCACTATCAATCTTGCATTCTTAACATGGGGTCTGTTTTGCTCCATAAATCATTTCCTTAAAATATTGGTACACTGGGAAAATACATACACTCGTGATTGGGGCTGAACACCTCACACTCCCAGGCCTGGCCGGCTGGCTCCCACTCTGGTTCACTTTTTCTATATTTCCCCCAAGGCACTTACTAACCACGGATGTTAGGTAGCTCGCTGCTCATGTTTATTCTTTTATTCCTCTCATTGTTGGGGTTTACGTTCCATGCAGATAGAGATCTTTATCTGTCTTTTTCACTGATAAATCCCAAACCTCCACAATAGTGCCTAGAACATTATAGGTACTCAACAAACAGAGAGTTGTGGAATGAATAAGAATAATGCGATTTTCCCCCCCTTAAAATGCATCATTATTCTTATCTGTGATGTAATGTCTTATTTCAAATTTGTTTAGGAATACATATTTAAAAATACACTTCTGGGAACATGAGTTATTAAAATACTTATTTCAGTTTATTAATATATTTTGCTATTCTAATAAAAACATAAGGGGCACTTTAAATAATGCTCCTAAAAACAACAGTGGTCAAGAATGTACTATTTTAAAATATAACGTGTATAATCTAGAAAGAGAGACTGAATTGTTACCCTCTGGTCAAATCTTAAAAAGATGTATTTATTTTAGAGCTGTTGCTTATTCCTGCTCTAAATCAGTGTGTTTCCAAGCGTCAGTTTCACCGACAGCTGGCAAAATGAAGATGGCTGAGTCACCTAACTAGAAACCACGTGGTTAGCAGGTCTATGGCTGTTTCTGTCCATCCTGGCTGCTGCTACAAAAATACCATAAACTGGGTGGCTTATAACAAACACTTCTCACAATTCTGGAGGCTGGGAAGTCCAAGGTTATGGCAGCAGAGGTGGCGTTTGGTGAGGGCCCCCTTGCTCTCAGGGTGGAAGGGACAAGCAAGCTTCCTTTGGCCTTTTTTTTTTTTTTAAGGGCACTAATTCCATTCATAAGGCCCCTCCCCTTATGACCTAATCACCTCCTAATACCATCACATTGGAGGTTAGGCTTTGAACACAAGAATTTGGGGGGCATAGACTTTCAGACCATAGCAGTGGCATGGCTGACTATGAGATCAGCTCATTGGATATCAATGCATGCCGTATGATCAACATGGCTGATACTTCTTTTCTTTTTTAATAGTATTATTAATTTATTAGGAATTAGTAAATTCCTACATCAGAGCAATCTAAGTGAAATAAAATATTGAAAGGAAAAGTATGGCTACTCATCAAAATAACTGTTCTTTCTGACTAATCATTTAATTTTACCTTTTTGCAAATGGATGCCTCCCCAAGTTGGCCAAAACCATTTGTACAGGTTTTCATTGATTTGCAGTAAAATAAGAAGTTTATTTCAAATAAACTTTGTTGAGTAATTGCATTGTATGTGTTGTTTTTAATGTATATACATCATTTCCATCACCTCCAGCAAGTTCCCACAATCCCCTTTGCAGTCAGTCTTCCTCCCCTACCCCCACCATTATGCAGCCACTAATCTAATACTATTAGTTCTGGAACTTTGTATAACTGGAGTTATACAGCTGTTCCATCGCTGGCTTCTTTTTCCTAGCATATTTTTTAATTCATCCAGGTTTTTGCATGTGTTGTAGTTTAATGTTTTGTTTGGTTTTATTACTGACTAGATTTATCTGAACTTTACAGTTCATTTATCTATTCATCTGCTCTTTCTCTATTTGTGTATAGCTCTTGGTGTGGTCATGTTTATATTTATTTTGAATAAGTAGCTATGAATGGTATTTCTGGGTCATATAAATATATATTTAAAAGAAACCAGCAAGTGACTTTTCAAAGTGGTTTATTAATTTTACATTCCTAAGAGCAAAGCTTGAAATTTCAGAGTTGTTGTACATTCTCTCCAAAGCTCGATATGATCAGTATTAATAATTTTTCTTTCTGATATTTGTGGCATCTCACTGAGGTTTTAATTTATATTTCCCTGATGACTAGTAGTGTTGAACACCTTTCATACCATTTGTATTCATATATACGTGTGTGAGTGTGTGAGTGTGTGTGTGTGCGCGCGTATGTGATGAAGAATCTACATAAGCCTTTTGCCCATTTTAAATAGTTGGGTTGTTTTTCTATTTTTGAGTTGTAAGGGTACTTTATGTATTCTGGATGCAAAATCCTTTTGAAATATAGCTTGTAAATATTTTTTTCCTAGTTCAACATGGCTTTCTTAGTGGTGTTTTTGAAGAGTTGAAGATTTTTATCTTGATGAAATCAAATTGACCTTTTTTTGTATTTTAAAGTTAGTGATTTTTTTTTATCTTGTCTAAGAAGTCTTTGGTACCACTTGATCCAAATATCTGATTCCAAAATTTTTAGGGTTTCAACTTTGTTTGGTTTCCATCCACTTCAAATTAAGGTTTGTGTTTGGTATGAAGTTTGAGGTAGAAGCCAAGGTTTGGGTTTTTGGTTTTTGGTTTTTGTTTTATGCATATCTAGTTATTTCAGCACAGTTTGTTGAAAAACTTTCCCTTTTGGATTATTTTGGTACCAATGTCAAAAAAACAATTGACCATACATTCATGTACTGATATATCTATTTCTGAACTCTCAATTTTGCCCCATTGATCTATATGTGTATGTTTGCTGGGATTTAGTTTAGGACTGCATTAAATTAAATCCATAATTAATCTGAGGAGACTTAACAAAACTTAGTCTTTCCAGTCAACAAATATTTTTATTTTCCTATTTATTAAGATTTTTAATTTCTCTGAATAGTGTTTTGTAGTTTTGTACTGTACAGTTCTTACTTATTTTCCATTAAATTTATTCCTAATTATTTTATGCTTTTGCATCTTATCTTTTGAATTTTTAAAATTATTTCTTAATTTTGTAGCTAATCTATAGTATACTAGTATTTATCTTATATTCCATTAACCTTGCTTAAATCCTATCTAATAAAAAAAAATACGCAAATTGACCATCATTCCAACACACAAGATGGCTACCCCCATGTGGTCAAAGATGCTGCCCCCATGTGGACACAAGATGGCCACCACAAGAGAGCCAGTAGGGGAGGGCAGTTGAGAGGGACCAGGCCTGCAAGGGAGGGCAGGTGGGGGGTAATCAAGTCTGCAGGGGAGGGCAGTTAGGGGTGACCAGGCCTGCAGAGGAGGGAAGTTTGGGGGCAACCAGGTCTGCAGGGAAGAGCAGTTGGTAGGGACCCAGGCCTGCAGGGGAGGGCAGTTAGGGGTGACCAGGCCTGCAGGTGAGGGCAGTGAGGGGCAAACAGGCTGACAGGGGAGCAGTTAGGCATTAATCAGGCTGGCAGGGGACTGGCTAGGGGGTGATCAGGCTGGCAGGCAGAAGTGGTTAGGGGCAATCAGGAAGGCATGCAGGTGGGCAGTTGGGAGCCAGCAGTCCTGGATTGTGAGGATGTCCGACTGCCCATTTAGTCTATACAAGGCAGTTGGACATCCCTCAAGAGGTCCCAGATTGGAGAGGGTGCAGTCTGGGCTGAGGAACACAACCCCATGCACGAATTTTGTGCAACGGGCCTCTAGTTTATTTATTAATTTAAGTGGCTTTCTTAGGATTTTCTATGTAGACAAACATGTCATTTGAGAATAAGAACAGTTTTACTTCCTGTCTTTGTTTTATTCACTGATACTTTCTTCACTATCTTATAATCTTTTCTTAATCTCAGGTATTATATTTCCATTTCAAATACTGTATTCTTCATCTCTATAGTTTGATTTGCATGCTATCTTCCATTTCTCTAATTTATGTTCAGTTTACCTTGACATACTTGAATACTTATAATCTTTATCATAGCCTTTTAAACCTCTTTACTGCTACATCAATAACTTCTGCCACCTTATGGTCTGTTTCTCTGGATGATTTTTCTATTGGTATAGATAGTGTTTCCTGCTTCCTTGCTTGTCTGGTTATTTTTGGTTGCTGGGTATTGTTGAGGGCTGAACTGAATTGTATTCCTTTAAAGAATTTTGGAGTTAGTGTCATATTAATTTGAGGCTTGATTCTAAGATTATTTCGTGGGCCTACTTCAAGATAGCCTCACCAATAAGTTCATACCCATCTGTGGACTCTATCCAATGCAACATTAGAGTCTTTAAACTCTGGCTAATGGAATGATAAGTTATCCCTAGCTCTTTATGAATTGTAGGAATTGTTCGACCTACTGCTTTCCTTAGTTTTTCTTTTCTCGTCTTGGGTAATGTCTCTCATACATATGCAGATCAGTACTCAGCCAAATATTTGAAGGAACCATTTTGTATGTCTGTCTGCCTCTGCAGCTTCCTTTTTCCCACTGCTCTGCCCTACTGAATCTAGTTGTTGTTGTCTCCTTGTACCTTTTCGGTATGTACTAGAGGCCCGATGCACGAAATTTGTGCAAGAGTAGGCCTTCATTCCTCTGGCACCCAGAACCCGGGCTTCCCTCACAGCCCCGGCTTCACCCAGAAGGACATCTGGTCTAATTCCCATATTACACTTTATTATTATACTCAATAAAAAAGGACAGCTTGATAGGGCTGCCCCTCTCTGAGGTGTGATAAAGAAACACCTCTGGCAATTACGTGCCTACTTTGTTTCCCTTTTCTAAGGGATAATAGTTACTTCCGATCTGTTACATAATGTCTGAAATCAGTTGTGTAATCTATTTTTGTTGAGTTTTCTACTGGAGGAAGTGAAATTCCTGTCATATTTAATCATTCATGGACAGAATAGAATTTTCCTTGCTAGTTTTATAATTTTCACTCTTCAGCTCATATTCCTTATCTGTTTTCCCTTTAGTTCTTTGAACCTATTTATAATATCTGTGTTAAATTTTTGTCTGCTGAATTCACCAATTAGGCCATTTTAGGGTTGGTTTCTATTGATTGCTTTTATATGCATAACAATATTTTAGTTTTTGTATATCTTGTATTTTTTCATGTTGCACATTATTTAAAAACAAAAAAAAACATTGTAGAGCCTCTGGATTATTTGTGTTTTATCGAGCAGTTAGGTTACTGACTGATCACATTGGACTTGTGTGGGTTTGGTTTTATGCTTTGTTAGACTCGCTGGGAAATCCAGGGTGTTCCTCAAGCCCCTCTTATGCGTAGAGCCAGTCTTCAAGTTATTCCTTCCTCGCTGATCTCTTAGGACTTGGTTCTCATTTTAAAAGTGCTTGAAGGTTTGAAGTCACCTTACTTTAGGGCTTGGTCCTTATCTCCAAAGTTTGCTTTTGATCTGTGCTGAATGTACATGGTATTAAGGAGGCGTTATGATATTTTCTTGACAATATAAAAACAAAAAAGCAAAATGATATAAACTCTAATCAAAACATTTGCGAGCCTGTCTCTTAGGCAATAAGGAGGTCAGGTAACAGACCGTGGTGGTGGCCTCAGGAAGAAGTGCCCATGTAGGCTGACTGCGCTTAGCTCGTCGGGACTTCACTCATTGCCCTGGGAGAAGCTCCTTTCATTTCCAGAATGGCTTTGAAATTAGATGATGAAATTTACTTTTTTTTAATTTTTGGTGAATGGTACTTTAGTCATTTTTGTTTATAACTAAAACTCTAGGAATTGAAAATTAACAATCTTGCCCACGAGCTTCTTATAAACTTCAGACTTGTGTTCCACATCCCATGGTTCTGCAGCACTCTAGCTAATAAACCTCGGTGGTGCCCCCGGGTTCTCTTGCCCACAGGTTCACCTGGGGAGACTAAGTCCTCCCGGATCTCATGTGCACAGCTGTCACAGTGTGGCTTCTGGGACACTTTTGCCCTTTTAATATATTTTTATTGATTTCAGAGAGGAAGGGAAAGGATGAGAGAGATGGAAACATCAATGATAAGAATCATTGATCAGCTGCCTCCTGCACGCCCCTACTGGGGATGTGCCCGAAACCCAGGCATGTGCCCTTGACTGGAATCGAACCTGGGACCCTTCAATCTGCAGGCTGACGCTCTATCCACTGGGCAAACCCAGATTTTTTTTTTTTGGTACAGTTTTTTTTCTAGTTGGCTTAGGCAGAATTCTTCTCTGAGCATTAGAGACAATGTGCTTCCCACTGAACCTTTTTCCAACTACTTAGACTTTTGTGTGTGTGTGTGTGTGTGTGTGTGTGTGTGTGTGTTTAAGAAAGATTTCAGTTGAAGAATGAGAACAAAGGTCATAATAGCTTTCTGAGCCCCGTTAACTCCAATGTCCTTGGCCGCTGTTATATTCAGCTCCTGAGCTGGGCCTTCAGGCCTGACTGTATCTCCCGCTACAAGGGCGTCTACGGATGCTGCACTAACACTCAGCTGGCTTTGGGCTTCACAGTCCTCATGCTCCCTGTTAGCACTGGCCAGCGAAGGTAATACTCTATTTGTATCATTTCTTCAACGATAGTTTGGATATAATGAGATATTAAGGTATTAAAATCTCAGCCAATGAGGTTACAGTTCAGTTCATATCCCGTTTCATCAACCTTGCCTCTTTAATATCATTCACATGGATTCCATCCTCCCCACCTTCACTGCACAATCTCTGTCCAGGCTTCTCCAATTACCTACTTGGTTTACTGACACTGATCTCCTCATGTCTACATAGCAGCTATTGATATAGAGAATAACAGCATTGGGAGTGTAGTCTTCCTCTGTACTGAGAAGTAGAAATTATTCATAGATGAAAGGACTGAGAGAGAGAGACAAGAAGAACTATCCTTGACAGAGAATTAAAAAAGCGTAACATTGTGAGCACTGGGTGTGGTGTGGGAAAGAGGGTTCAGGAAAAGGTGGTTGGAAGAGACCTCAGGGCATCTTAACAGGTTGGACGGATGGGATTGTTAAGAGAAGCAGGAAAAGTGAGGCGACTTCATGAAGGAAGGGCCTTGTGAGCCAGGAAGGAGTTGGACTTTTATCCTAACACTGTGGATCTTAAACGTTAGTGTGCATTCAAACCACGTGGGGCTCCTGTTACAAGACAGACTTATTCGCTGGGCTTAGGACAGAGCTTGCTTTTCTTCTGTGGTTCAAATGTTTTGTTTTTGTGTTTTGTTTTTTTACATTTTAGTACTGAGGACCAATCAGTAAACTTCACTCCTCTGAGTTTGGTGTCAATGCACCCAGGAACCACACCGGTGCAGACGGCAGCTGGACGTTCTGCTTGGAGCACAGCCGGGTTTCAGAGTAGACTACGCTCTAGTGTCACTTTGGCCAGAGCAGTTCAGTCAACAGGAAAAAATGACTAAGACTCTCGGGTCCGGCTTTCCATTCTTTCATAGGTAAAATCTGGCTAGACTGAAGGGCAGCTTTGAAGCCATGCATCAGCTGGAGAAGTGCAACATAAGGGAGGATGAGGAGGAAGACTTACTAAAGGCCAGATGAAGGCATGCCTAGGAATGAAAAGCTGATTGCTGACCAGCTCCCTCGGTTCGAAGCAGCCCATTCCCGGGCAGTCTGTCTGTCTGCCGCATGGAACGTTTAGCGCTCCGTGTGATACTACAATAGATGCTGGTGAGGCTGAGCATAAAGCATCCGGGAGCAGGATTCATAGCGCTTCTTCATTCTCGTCCTTTATTTTAGTGAGTCATAAACGGTTTCACTTGTCGGATGCCAGCATTGGTTTTACAAGCGAAAGATGGGATGGAGAATAGGTCTGTAAGGCAGCTCATGGTTTTTCTCAGGTCAGTGTGTTCTAAACCAGCCTCTATTTCCTTCTAATGTCATTTATTTACGTGCCCAGTGCTCCCCAAACAAGGCTTATTTTTCACTAATTTTGTAATTAGACTTCAGCATCTGGCAGCTGCAAGCTAATGCAGTTACAGCCAAGAATCTCTTAAGTTTCTCCTGATGGTTATCTTTCTGCTGTGACATTGTTTAATTAGGCTCTAAGTAAAGGATTATGACAAAACATCTAGTTCAAAATTACTTTCTTTTTAAACTATTAACAAATTTTTACCTTTTCCTTTATTTTGTAAAGCTAATTTTTTGACAATTCATGGTACAATGGGATAATTAACTGGAAGTACAGCATTGCTGACTAAACACTAAAACAAGCTTTTTCTAACTGTCACGTTTGTGGAAATTCAGTTACCACATATGGGTTTGTCTCCATAGATCAATTTTTTCCCAAATGTTTTTATTTTGGAAAGAGGATGTCCACAGTGGAAATTTCTTGGAAAATATCTAGTGATTGGATTCTACAGTCCCCCTATTTCTCTTCTGAAGAACTGAGTTTTAGAAAGGTTCTTTGACCTTGAGCAGAACCAACTATGCGTAGAGACAGGATATACCTTCTGCAAAGTAAGACCTTTGCAACTTTCTTCATCATGAGAATCACTTGGGGTGCTCATTAAAAAAAAAAAAAATTGTTTTTTCTTTTTTAATTTTTGATTATGGTATTACATAATTGTCCTTTTTTTTTGATTCATCAAGATTGATATAATGAGAATGTTCTGGAGAGAAACCTAGTGTGTTGAGGTACCCCAAAGAAACAAAACAAATATGATATGTAAGTGGGAGTAAGGGGAGGGAATGTATGTATATATGTGGAAATTTATGAGAATTTTGCTTTCATGACTCATGGGACTTTTCTGCCTCCGATATACCACCTGCAAGCTAGAGACCAGGAAAGCTTGTGTTATCATTTATTGTAGTTGGAGTCTGAGGCCTGAGAACCAGAGCAGCTGGTGCTGTAAATCCCAGTCTGAGGAGCAGAGGAGGTTAGATGCAATGCAGTGTCCCGGCTCAGTCAGTGAGCGAGGAAACGGGGCCAATTCCTCCTTCCTCTGCTTTTTATTCAACGGATTGGAGGATGCCCACCCACGCTGGGGCAGGCACACTTCTTTACTGACTCTGCTGGTTTTACCTGGGAACATTCTCACAGCCCCTCCCAGAAATAATGTTAACCTCAACACCCATGGCTCGCTCAGGTTAACAGAAAATTAACCAACACAGGTCCACCTCTTATCAACGTGGTACCCATCCACATCTTAAACCACACTCCGTCACCAAATAAAGACAACAACGTGGTCATAATTCTGCCAATCACTGAGACAAATATGCTCTGTCCAACAAAAATGCACTACATCCTTCCCCAGAAGAGTTAAGTCATGTTCACTCTTCGCCGTGATAGCCCATAACTTCCCGTCGCGGCTGGCCCTGCCCCGGCGCAGTCCAGGACCTCCAGGTTCTTGACTCAAACAGGAAAGAATTCAAGAACAAGTGAAAGTGGAAGCAGGTTTTATTCGGGTAAAGAAAAGCAGGCTGGGACTCAGGTTCCTGGTGACAGGATCAGAGGTTGAGTCGCCTGCTGCCCCCCTGGTTACCCCTCACAGGGCACCACTGTGACGGCGAAAGCACACATCCGGGTGGATGTGAGCCTTCTGGTGAGTAGCTTGTGGGGTCAGTCAGTTCTTGGGGTTT